AGTAAAAATTGTGCGGTTGAAGTTTATGCAAGAGAGAGAGAAATGAGTAGAACCACAAAATAGTTACTTTAATGAGAAAGTGACAATGTTTTTTGGAACTACCAGAAATGGAAAGTTGCAAAGTTCAATTGGGCAGAGGGAGTATTTTATTAGGTACTTGTATATTCCGTGTGTAATTGTTTTATTTATAATTTATATATTTCAAATAATTCAAAAAATTAGTCAATAAATACAATTACAATATATTCGGTTGAAAATGGAAAGGGGCACTTTTAACCGATGCCAACTCTGTTAAATTAGTTCACCGTGAACAATGGGGGTGATTGCCCTCCTTTGAGGGATTTTAAAGTTGTATGCCCACAAAAAAAAGATTAAGGGCATACATGCCCTTTGATGACAACTCAGGAGCGTTTTTGCCCCTTTTTCCTTTTGGTCATTTATAAACACTACTTTACCTCTTTTCAATAAAAAGAAAATCTCCCATCCAAAAAAATAAATAAAAACAAAATCTCATAGGAATTGAGCCGCAGATCTTATACTCTCATCCCACATATACGGTGCTTATATATTTTTTAGGATACGTAAGGTATGTTAGAAGCGGTTCCGTTCGTCTTAATCTTATTACTTATTCCTTAATCTTATTTTATTCAGATCAGATCAGATCAGAAAGATTCAGATCAGATCAGACCAGATCAGAAATATTCAGATCAGATCAGAAACATTCAGATCAGATCAGATCAGATCAAAAAATTCAAACATGATTTATCACTTTTATTATTATATTAATTATGATTATTATATTATAGTTATTGTTAATAATATTAATATATTAATATAATAATATTAATAATAATAATATAATAATAATGTTAATAATATAAAATTATTAATATATTATAATAATATAATATAATATAATATAATATAATATAATATAATATAATATAATATAATATAATATAATATAATATAATATAATATAATATAATATAATATAATATAATATAATATAATATAATATAATATAATATAATATAATATAATATAATATAATATAATATAATATAATATAATATAATATAATATAATATAATATAATATAATATAATATAATATAATATAATATAATATAATATAATATAATATAATATAATATAATATAATATAATATATTTATAATTATAATTATAATTATGATTTACAATGTAATTATAATTATAATCATCATTATTATTAATATGATTGTTGTTCTTGTTGTTATTTTTGTAATTATTATTACTTCGGAGTAATTATATATTTAAATTAGTAATTATAGATATAATTATGATTATAGAGATAAATATTATAATTATAATTACAAAAAAAATAATTATAAAATTAATCATAATTAAAAATATAATTACATTTATAATTGTATTTGTATTTATAATTAGTGTAATTGGTATAATTATTATAATTTTAAATTTAATTTTAATTATTATTTTTTATAATTATGATTATAATTGTAATTTTATTTAAGTTATATTTTTAATTACAATTATAAATCTAATAATTATAATTATAAATACAATTATAGAAATATTCAAATCAGATCAGAAAGATTCAGATCAGAAGAATTCAGATCAGATCAGAAACATTCAGATCAGATCAGAAACATTCAGATCAGATCAGATCAGCAACATTCAGATCAGTTCAGCAACGTTCAGATCAGATCAGAAAGATTCAGATCAGATCAGAAAGATTCAGATCAGATCAGATCAGAAAAATTCAGATCAGATCAGATCAGATCAGATCAGAAAAATTCAGATCAGATCAGATCAGAACTTAAAAAATTCAGATCAGAAACATTCAGATCAGGTGAACGGAACAGCTTCTTAGTCTGTTAGACACAATTAATTAAAAAGATATTTTTTAAACTTTTTAGTATTTGTTAGCTTTAAATTACTGAAAAGATCTTAAAAGAAAAATTGTTAGCTATTTGATAAAAAATTGATTGTTTGATACACAAGTTGTTCTGACTAACTAATGTTAAAAGTTACAAACTTTTCTCAAACACTACTCAGTGTAGCTTTTCAAAAAAGATCTTTTATTTAGATAAAAACTCTTAAAATTTATCCTGCCATTTATATACAAGCAAAACATTTTCAGGACTTTTTAAATAGTAGAAAAGCTAGAAGGTGGCACTTATGCCAACTAAACATGCTCGTAGTATATATTAATATTTCCGGCTAATAATGGCTTTTGAAGTATTCCCATAAAATTGAGATCATTTTTAGGCTATTAGGATGTTTTTAATTGGATTATAATTTTCTGAACTGATTTGGTTTGATCTGGTATGATCGGGTATGTTTAAGTCTAATCTTGTCTAGTGATGTCTGGCCCATGTGTATTTTATAACTATCGTATCCTGGTCTGATCTGTTTAACCTTGGACTGCTCTGCTTAAATTTGATTTAGTCTATTTTGATCTGGTCTAGGACTACAATCAGTCCCAATTAAAACATCGTAATTTATCAAAATTTTCATCATACATCTTTACGATTTTTGGTTGATCTTTTTTACTTTTTTTGGGCCACAATTGTTCCTATGTTTTTTCCCGTGCTAATTAGCAAATCAAATATTAAAAAAGTGAATCACGTCAATTTTTATATACCATGTATGACTCCTGCTCCAATACATATAAGTTCATAGTATAGTAGTCACAAGAACACCAATATACAATTGATACATAGGAATGACAATTATATTTGTGGTCATCAATACTTAAAAGAACTTTTAACACCTACAAGAAATGTCTAACCTAATAACATGTTGGGTGAAAGTGGATTGGGTTTTGTACTTCTCTCTTCAAGGCGACTAGACCTAAATATGATCTGGTAGTTATTGTGAAGAGATTAGTGTATATGTCAATTCAATATCCCTACATCGCCCTAAAAAGAGCACCTAATTTTGCTTGTACCATGTGTTTAATAGAAATGTTAAACAAATTTTAATTAAAAAAATTCAATTCAATATCCCTACATCGCCTCATTAAGTCACATGAATCTATAACAAATTTCACTTCTAAGGTTTATTTCTTAACTTACAAAGAGCGCCTAATTTTACCTCATTAAGTCACATGAATATATAACAAATTGCACTTCTAAGGTTTATTTCATTAGTTACAAATAACAAATTACACTTCTAAGGTTTTATTTTGATGATTGTTTGAAGTAGTTGATTAAATTCGATATGAACATATAGCTATGCACTAATTTTTAGTATATTTACTAATTACCTATACACTAATGATGTTTTACTTGGACTAAAAATTTTTGGTCTGATCTGATCTGGTATGGTCTGGTAAACGTCTGGTCTCTGTATATTTTATAACTATCCAAGTCTGGTCTGGTCCGATCTGGTTTGATCTAGTCTGGTCTGGGACTGAAAACAGTCCAAGTAAAAACATCCTAATTTGTAAAAATTTAGTTTATAAAGTGAATTCTTTTTTTTATTAAGTAGACTATTACAAAATTAGTTAATAAGTTGTTCCATTTGATTTAATGGTAACACACTATGTTAAGGCTTAAACAATGTTGATCATATTTACAAATTCGATTCATGGCTAACGGAACATCTTCAACCAAGCCAAGCATACAAAAATAGGATGCTAAAATGTTCTTTAGGTTTTGATTCTGCTAGCATTTTCTGCAACAATCCCTCAAAAAGAGGATTTAAAACCCCCTATCCTTAATACATTTTCATAAAACAATTGATTGTGATATACCATTATATTATCTACCACTTTATGTATATGATTAGTTTAATGATTTTAAAATGGGGATTGATTAGTGATCTTGAACTATCATGCCCATAATTCAATGCTTGGATATCACATATATGACCTTTTACCCATGCGGTTATTAGAATACATGACTCATTTCTAACTTTCGCACAAGTTCGAATCAACCTTCTTAATTCCATAACATCTTAGAAACACAATCATTGTCATTCTAGGATGCACATCATATCGATTGGAAGACAAGATGATCTTGTTAGATTCAAAATTATATTGTGACTTGTATTGGCCTATTGGGCATTATCCCACACGCGCAACCCGCATTGAAAAACTAGTGTATATATACATGAGAACTCGCTGTTAACCTTCTAAAAACTGATTTGATTTTGTTTTTGAAGTTGAGGTACTTGATTGGATGATAATTGAGTTGAGAGTCTTAATTGACTATTTCATAGTAGTAGGGGGGCTTATTTGACTATTTTCTCCCTTTTGAAGTGATGTTCATATCCCTACAAAATTACCTTTTGGAGTCCATGTATGCACCTTTTATATTCGCCCACGCAATGCCTCTAAAAATGCAAAATTTCTATAAATTGTCCGTTTGCAAAGCAAGATGCAGGTAGGAAAGGTGTACAAAATAATGTAAATCAAGAATTACCCTAAAAAGGTAAACTCCCTAGAAACCAAGAATGACCCTATAAATCACGTGGCTCATCAGAGACTATTAGGGGCGGTATAGCTAAGCTATATATTCCTAATATAATTTGAATTTGTGCGTCTCAGATAGTCAGTGTAGAAATAAAAATGTCAAAGCTTAACTATTTTTACAAGGACATAGAATGAGTTTAATGCACCAAATCTCCTCATGATATATAATTTCAACGTATTAGCTCTTTGTAATTTGAAAAACACGTCAAAGTCAATGTGTCAAAATTATCCATGCACAAAACCCTCTCTTAGAACAAATTTTATAATTTGAAATGACTTGTCTTGATAATATGATTGAATATGCAAGTAACTTTATTGAGATTTCTAAATTATACAAAAATACTAATCATTTTTTTATTTGGCAATTAAATTTGTTCATAGAGGAGGATTTGACGCATGAATAACTACACCATAGGAGAGTTTGACGGATTTTTTAAATCACAGAGACCCAGGGGCGGATCCAGAAAAGTTACAACGGGGTGGGCTAAGATTAAAAATTGAAAGACACATACATAATAAGACGTCAAGTCGTCAATACTTTAAATATTCATCAAAACATCATTTAAGTTGTGTCGCAATTTCAAAGTATAAAATTCATCAACAATAGAATCTACATCTATATTATTGACAAAATCTCGTTCAATGTAGATCATCAATGAATCTTCACGAAAATCATCTCATTTTGTTACAACATGCCATCTTGACTCTTGACATGCTTTATTGTCAAAAATGCTCTTTGCGTAGTAACGGTAGAAACAAATAGGGTCAAAACCAGACGAATTAATCTTGTCAGCATAAGATAAGTATTTGATTTCTCACTCTCCGTCAAATTTTGACATAACTCAACAAGTGTCAATAATTGAGATGTCGAAACAATATCATGCATGATCAGTTAAATCTACAGGATAAAACTTTTGAGCAAGTTTACAAATATCCTCACTGTTAAATGAGCTGAAGGAGTTCTTGGGATCCAAAACAAGACTAAGTTGAAGAAGTTCCATGGATATATCATTAAAGCGTGTGCCTAACTCAATCAAAGTAAAATCAATCGCTTCATTGAAAATATCAAAATGATAATGATGTTTTGTTGTGGGTTGGAAACGAGAACGCCCAATCTTATATGGATCATTCAAATTTAGAACATCAATATCATTTGAAGAGCAAAAAATCTTGACTTCCTTAAGAAATTCCTCCCAACCAGATGTCCTTAACTCTTAAAGGATAACTTTAGTAATACCAACAAATGTAATAGCACTCAAAATATCAAGACTTTTTTTTGAAGAACCTGGCAAATAGCATCAGTTATCCAGAGAAGTTTAGGCATCAATGGTAAGACAAACACGAATTCAAAGCTTGTCACTTTTCCATAGGTCTCGAGAATCTCAGCTTTAGATCTTCCATTCAGAGAGTTCTCAACCAAATGTTCAAACACTTTGCAAACTGCAACATACATGTCTATCAAACTCTTCACGGAGCTATGATGAGAGCTCCAACGAGTAGATCATGATCGTTGCAAATTATGAACTTGATTTGCACCACATCCCAATTCACGCTCCCTGATAGCTAATAACTTACTCAATTTCAATTCTTTGAGACACGTGCAACTCTGATACCTGCTTTAGTGAAAAAGTAATAATATTACCAATATTATCCAAGTGAGAGAAAAATTGCCAAATTAAACTAACATCCTTCGCTGCAGAAACCAGCCCAAGTTGTAAGTGATGTACAAAACAATGAATGTAATATGAATAAGGACAATCTCTACTAAATAATGCCTGAAGGCCATTTCATAAACCTCACGTATTACTGCCACCATCATACCCTTGGCCTCTCATTTTTTAAACTTGGAGATCATGATGACCAAAACACATCGTATATTTTATCTTTCAAGGTTGTTGTTGTAGTGTCACCAACACTTCTGATGGTAAAGAAACACTCTGTAGGAACTTCACCACTGTTCACAAACCTTGTAATAATCGTCATCTGCTCCTGTTTAGATATATTTTGTGCTTCATCAACAAGAATGCAGAAACAACTATTTGCAATTTCTTCGCGAACTATTTGACGAACTCTATTCATCATTATATTCGAGATCTTTAGAATCTCAGGAGCAATGTACTGAGCATTTCTGAAGCATTCTCAAGCACAACTTCACGAACTTTGGTATTCATACCCACAAAAGCTTTCACTAGTTCAATAAAATTTCCCAATTTGATGATGTTAGAGATTCATCATGATATCTAAAGGTGCAACCTTGAAGTGCTAACCATCTAAAGTTATACGATTTTTCTCCTATTCTTGTTGCGATTGTACGTGCAAAACATTATTAATTAGTCAGATGGTTTTCTCAAACTTTCAGCTCTTGTAACACAACTAATATGAGGTGATAATGTTGTAGTACCAATGTGCTGAAGAAATGCACATCTATTTCCTTGATTTATCCTCTTCCAACTTTCAAATCCTTCGTTAACTAGTGCATAAGTAGTGTGCATATGAATGTCACTAAAGCAAAGAAAGCAATAAAAAGAACTTCAACCAATTAAACTTGTCAAACCATTGTTTCTGAAACTTCGATTTTAAGCCCCAAACTTAGTAACTTGATAAGTTTCCATTTTCAATTGATAAGGCCTAACATTTAGATATGCACGTCTCACTTCATCTTGTACATTGACATGATATTCATTAATTTGCTTTCTTTTTCCCGGACTCTCTCAATGGAAAAAGACGGAGGCAACTCCAAATTTGAGATAGTTTGAATTTCAGAACTTGGGCTTGCAGAGGAACCTCATTGAGTAGATCTTGTACTATCGTAGTTTAAAACTCCCTTCACCAGTTTGACGATTCACTTTCAGAAAGAATGATGATATCAACTTCTTTTCTTTCTTGGCAATATGTTCATTATCCATTCTAAAAAATATTTTCAATATTGGTATAAATTAAAATACTTCTATGAAAATATATACTCTCTCTGTCTCGAAAAGGTTAACCAAAGTTGACTTTCACGTGGATTAATAAAGTAAAAACTATGATTGATATTTGTGCAGAGGAGAGCGAATTAACTTTAGCCACATATTCCTAATTTTAAATGGAAATGACAAATCTTTTTGGGACATCCAAAAAAGGACAACCTTTTCAGGACAGAGGGAGTAACCATTAAGGAAAAAACAATCGTTGTACATAAAACTAATAAGTATTCTCAATTTCAAAATTCAATTGGAATTTTCAATTCTTTCTTACATGCCCACACAATAAATAAATCATTCTCTAATCTTCAAATTGTATAATAACTAAATCATTTTCTATTCTTTAATTCTCTCTTTAGGCATTATAAATTTATAATGAATTAAACACTACTCCTCCCGTTCTTTTTTATTAGTCCTTCTTTCTTTTTTGGGACGTTTTTTTTTATTTGTCCTTCTTTCCCTTTAAGGAAAGTTTTTGAGAAAATACCTCCACTTTTATTACTTTTACCCCACTTACTTTTTACAAACTACTTTCTCTTTCTTACTTTACCATCACTTTACTCTTCTTAATACACTCTCTTTCCTACTTTATTATCACTTTACTCTTTTTAATATACCATCTTTCCTACTTTATCATATACCCTACATACTCTATACTTACCCTACTCCTTTATTATTAAAACTCGTGCCAAACCCTAAGAGGACTAATAAAAAAGAACGGAGGGAATATTTAATTATGTACTGAAAAATTCAATTAACAATCAAATTGATTCTCTAACCCTAAAACTCTAAAAGGCTAAAAATAATAATACACAATAACAAATTAACACCAAGTCACTTAAAATAATAGATTCAAAATCTAAAAGGGAGTTACAAATAGAGTTTACCTGGAGCAGTGGCCAATGAAGCTGGAGGCAGAGCCCCGGGCAGAGACACAGAGACGGAGTCCGGAGAAGGACGGACAATGCAGGTCCGTGGACGCGTGGACGTCTTCGTCACAGTGTCGCAGACTAGCAGCTCTTCATCACACGCTCAAGCTCCTCTGTTCTTTGCAGTTCAACTTTCCTTCTTCAGACTTCTGTTCTTCGCACTTCAGCTTCGCGTGAAGTAACTTAAGTGGGCTATGGGCTGCGCTAGGAATGACTTTTGGAGTGGACTGAGAATTAATTTTGGAGTCGACTGATAATTAAATATATACTTATACTAACTAAAAAAATTGGGTTGGGCTCCTCTCACTACCATCCGCCCCTACAGAGGCCTAATGCGTTGAATTTATATTTCACGAGTGGGCTTGATCCATTAAACGCACAAGGACATTAGAGTTATGTAATTCATGTTTGTTTTTCAGAAAAAAATTGACAAGGGGGAAAAGGAAAAAAGGCGCCAAGCAAGTATTAGGGAATGAAAAGACGGAGTAGTAATAATACAAAATGACATGGACCTAGGATGTTTTTACTTGGACTGTAATTGGCTGGTCTGGTCTGGTCTTTTCTGGTCTAAACGGGTAATGTGTGGTCTCTTTGTGTTTTTATAACTATCCAAGTTTGGTCTAGTCTGTTCGGGTCTTGATAGATTACAGTCCAAGTAAAAACATCCCTACTAAAAAACACACATCTCCTTTTCCTCCCCTGCGTTCAACCTCCAACCAAACAATTCATCAACAAACTTTGCAATGTAAACGTCATCCCCCCGTTCACCCTACCCAGACCAGGAACAAGAGACTCTTTCATAAATAAAAGTACATTATAAAAACACACAGGAATGTGCCAAGGGTGAGGATTGATGGATGATGCATTGGAAATTCGCCCCTACTAAGGAGTTGTACCATTAGGCATCATCGCCCGTACAGTTCTTCACCTATTTCATTTACAAAAGTTTAGAACAAAACCAACCTGAATAGACTATATATATCCACAAGTTTAGCTGTTAGGTTCAGCAGCTTCCACATTACTATAATCTTCTCCATTAACAACTTTCAGCATCGTGCGCATTCTCACTGAATGCCACAAATTACCTGTCATGAGAAACACTGTATTATTTAATATCTACAAATGTAGGTCCCACTTTTTGTAAATGATAATGATACTCAAATTCGAAAACCAAAATTGCAAATTCATAATGGATGAGGAGAAAGCTAAAACAGATACTCAAATACCTTTCATCCACCCATTGTAGAATTGTATAAATTTAAAGTAGCTAATAAAATGCTTCACCCTCATAAATAAAAATATAAATAAAGCCACATTTAGCCCACATTGTTTTAAATGGCTGGGGGGGAAATGATCGTAGTTTACAATTACAAAAAAAGGGAAGCCTAAGTTACAGTATTCCATTGTTCATACGTCAAACATGTATCACTAAGGTTAGGAAAGTTACAAAGAAAATGCCAATCAGTGACAACCTCAAATTCTTTTATAGATTTGTCAAAGTTAAATCATGGTAACTAAGTTTTGTTAACATTTGACACACCATTCTCAACTCTCCCATCAAATCCATGATATGGAACTTCAACCATAGGTCTTGGTGTTGGGCGCCCACCAAATTCTTGTGGAAAGCATTCAAAATCAGGGCCAAAGTTGAACTTCACGACACAATTAGGTTGGTTGGGAAGTGTGTACATTGAAGCAGCAGGGTAGTAACGACCACCATAGAGATCCTTAAAAGCAACTCCTTGACATATGCCATTTTTGAAGAAAGATATCTCACTCCCTGTTCATTCAAAAGCAATACATTGTCCTGATGTTAGAACAAACCTCATGTACAATAACAAAATAATAGGGACCGGATAAATGGCCAAGTGACCGGGTTCCAGATCGAACTGGCTGGTCCAGTCCGGTTCTTACAACATAGATAACAAAATGATAGTATGTAAATGATACTCCCTCCGTCCCATATAAAGGTTCCCGTTTCCTTTTCTGGACGTCCCCTATACAAGTTTGTCTTCTTTTTTTAGGAAACAATTAACACTCTTAATTGACAACTATATCATCAAATATTAAAAATAATACTTCAACAACATCACAGGTATCACCATGAACCCCATAATATTATATACCTATCAAATTTATTTCTTAAAATATACTAGAACTATCATATTTAATTATTGTCTAAATAATCGTGTCATTTTGCAATGAGAACCTTTCAAAGGGGCAGAGGTAGTAAATCATTATTATATTCAGATATAAATGTGCATGAGGCAATCTCTTAGCATTTATTCAACACAATTGGATTAAAAAAGATATGCGGCAAGAATTGAGCGCTAAGATAATAGCACCCCACCTGGGTTCGGATCGATACAACAAAATAGGATTTTGAGAGAATTGTTAATCCTTATTTATTTAGTTTGCAGCCATAACAATAACATAAGTTTGAGCGGAAGAAATACCAGTTTAACATCACAAATGAAGCAGATACTAAATTAATTGTTTAAACTTGTCCTTCGGTCCTCCCTGCCCTACATAACGACATATTTATTTGAATGAATCTTTCTTCATTATTTATCACCTTAATCCCAATTAGCTCAGTCAATGACATCATAATTTAAACTCTCACCGCTTCTTTGTTAAGAAGTGGCAGTTAGTACATGCAATTTTCATCACGAATTTCACTATGGGTCACTCGCAAACCGTCTCTTTTTTAGTACAGGGGTAAGACTGTATACATCCGACCCCTCCTTATCCCATCGTAGGTGGGAGCCTTTGTGGCACTATGGAAATGATGATGATGAAGAATGACACCATAATTTAATTAATTCATGCACAAAACATAGTAGCAATGTCTTATGCAGGATGTGTTTGCAGTCACAAATCTTTTTCCAAATGTAAACATTTTAACTGATAAAGTAAAAGGTTAATTTTACAAAAGATCTTTACACATGGTTATATTTAATCAAACAGGTCAAATCAGATACAACATCCCACTAACTAATCACTAATCCACAAGCAGGCCCAGCGAAACAAAGATATGATGCAACCAGAAGGAGAAACTTTGCACACTGATAAAGCTATTATTATGCGACTTCAATGTCACGAACACATGTTGCAGAAACAACCTCTAATATAAATAATTTATAAACATAGTTTCATGGCGTGTAGCGGCAATGATGGCAATGAGCCAGTTTTCCGTGGAGATGACACAGTTATGGCGTCGCCACATGACAAAATATCGTATATAAATATGAACTATGGATAATATAGTTGTTCAATTCGGCCATCAATAAGGGAGTGTAAAAGTTGTATAACCAAATTCTAACCGAAACACACTTGGGCAAGAAGTTCACATAGTAAAAAAAATAGCTTGATAAAAACCATAATTCAAGGCCTACAAAATATGTGATTTTGAAAACTAGGTTTTAAAATATATCTATTGTGGATAGAAATAAAAAAATATTTGAGGATTAGATTGTAATAAAAACTATATATAGTGTAGAGGAGGAAAGAGTAATGCGAGGACTTCATAAACAACACTATGTCTCCTACGCTGGCAAAGAAATGAAGATACCTAGAACTGATCCGATACGAGGACATCGTAAATATCTCTCTGTCTCGTAAACTGGCAAACAAACGAATAAACCTAGAACTTAAATACAAAAAGTCAAAAAGGTAGCCTCCCTATTTTGAGTTCCAATCCTGACCCTCTGAAGATTTTTTTCCCTTTTCTTTTTCCTTTGAACTTCCTAGACGGCCTGTTACCTGACCAGCTGACCTGGCGCATTATCTTCTTGCTCTCGCAGATTGATGCAGCACTTTGATCCGGCATTTCAACGATCAGAATAAGCTGCCTACAATCTAGGTCAGATTTGTGGTGCATATAATGTGGTGATGGCGCAAAAGTGGTGCCACCTCATGTATGTTGGTCATCACTAGCCATAGAGTATTTATGTGGTGAAGAGGGATTCAAACGCCATTCGCAATTCATGGCATGCACCATCTGTGCCATTGATAGCTAAGTTTATAAATATAAGTTAAACGTGCATATAAGACTACAAGAGTATACAACAACTGAGTTGTAATTCTGTGACACTGGGATGCCTTGTGACTTTTTCACACCTTCAATCCAGTCATTACCATCACAAATCCATTTTAAGTTACTCGCATTGCAAGACTCCCTTTAAACACTGAACACTTGCCATGTTGCTCCTTGCCTCCTTAACAGCAACAGTATCTGAAGCAAATCAGGAAGCTCCCATAAGTCCATAACCTTGTCTTGGCTAGCCTGCTACACTCACTCTCATATGAACCCCTCCGCTGTAAACCTTGTCTTTTCTAGTCTTGTCACACATCTATAGTAACATTTGCATACCCGCCGGCCGCCACACTCATAATCATCATAAACCATTTTTTATTAGTTCAACATTCGGAACTTAAAGTCATGATAAAGGTCCTATAAACTTTTCCTGCAGTTTTAATTAAAGTTGGATTCAACTCATACTGCATTTATATCACTCCTCTCACCGACTTACATTGGTCATGTGTGTAACTCTTGAAACAATTGCTTATGGGAAACTCTTTCTCATTCCATTCCATTCCATCCTGTTTTGTTTTTATGATCTTTAAGGGTATTAACTTTACAATTTACATACCTCTACTTCGACTTATTCAAATCGTCAAGATTCTATTGGTGTCTCTGAATCCCTTCTTTGGACTTATCAATAACATGATGTCATCCACCAACAACGTACACAAGAATACCTCATTTCAAATAAATTTAATAATCATAGCAAACACATCCATGATGATTGCAAATAAGTCAATATTGGTGCTAACACATGATGTCACCAACAACATACATATCTTTGCTCGAATATATAGGTATAGAAAATGGCCTTTATGCCTCAAATCTCAATACATATCTTTGCTCGAATATATAGATAGATACAAGAAAGCCAGGTAACATTATCTGGAGTAATTCCATGACATCATTTTATGGAATTAGTTCTTGGAACCTTATTCAACAAAACTATACTACCTCCGTCCCACTATGTTTAGTAAAAGAGGAGGTGGTGTCATTATTCAGAAAAATGCATTTACGCGGTTGATATTGAATTGATAACTTAAGAATAACATAGGAACGGTTTATAAATACGCATATATTACCAAATTTGGTATAGGACAATCTTAGTGGGATGGACCAAAAAGGAAAAATGGGACAATCTTAGTGGGATGGACCAAAAAGGAAAAATGGGACAATCTTAGCAGGACGGAGAGAGTAATATGTTAGTCAATTATGAAAAGACCAAAGTGCTGGAATGCCCTAAATGCCTAGCAATATTATTGAATTATTCTCAAATAATTACAACTACAATCTTTTTGAAAAAAACAAAACCTCTTTGCATCTCATAATGCTTGGAAAAATGTCTTTTTCATCTTCTGTCATTTTGCTGTTTTGCACATCAGCTGCATAAATACTTTCTTGAATAGATAATCTCAAATATTTTTACAAGTGAAAAAAGATGTCACAATTGCCAACTTAATACCAAATGAAGAATCAAAAGACCATTTCTTAGAGGAATCAAAGTTATAAAATTTCTAAAGTAACTTAGGCTTTTAAGTTTTAACACTGATAGGAATCTGGGTTTAGTAGGCTATTAATAAGAAAATAATATGAATAAGAGTAAAGGTACTTGTAGTAGTATTAATAGAAGGGAAGGGGTTATTAGTAATATCTAGCATATCCATATGTGGGTATTGGCTATAAATAGAAGGGATAACAACGGGTGAGGCAGACTGTTATTTGGATGTATAGTTGCCTTGAGAGTCCCGGTTGCCTGAGTTGCCTTGTTACCTACGTTGAGACATTTCCTATCAATAATATCATCTTCCCTAATTTCTTATCAGATCTATCAGATCTGTAGTGCTAGTTTACTGTTTTCTATTGGAATATGGCCAGGTCTCTATCAATGGTATCAGAGCTGTTGCTCCTGGGATCGTCGTGAGGTAGCGACTACAAGTTTCCGGAAGTGCAATTACTGCAGAGCACCTGCTCCTAGGAATCGGATCGTGGTAGTGACATCAACAGATCGATATTAAAGTGCGACTTCATCAGAACCCTAGTTCCTGGAGATCGGAATTGAAGTACGATTACTGCAGGACTAGCGTTTCAGAGGTGAAAGGTCAGAAGGAGAGAGAAAATGGAAAATCGCAGAGATACGTTGGGACTGGAGATGAAGTCGGCGATGTCAAACCTCGTAACCACGTTGAATGAACAGATTCAGAGCACCATGGCGGCATCTATGGCGGAATTCGCAGCCGCGATAGCAGCGCTGAAGGAAGACAGTCGCGGAGATCGTGAATCTCAAAACCGGCCTTCTGCGTATCCCAGTTTGTCGCCAAATGCGCAGGTCTCTTCTCCTCACCGATCGACATCGCAAACCAGTTTCCCTGGATCGCAATCGCAAGCCCAGCATCAGAGTGCGCAGATTTGGTCGCAAACTGCCTCACGCAGTTCAGCCGCATCGCATCATCCAGATTTGTCCAGTCCTAGGCCACGCTCTTCTGACAAAATGAACTCGACGCAACTTGAAAAAAATCCCGATCATTCAAGTTTTAGGGTGGAGGGCGATAATAGGAGAAGACATGCACGTACGGGAATAAAGGTTGAACTACCTTTATTTAACGGAGATAAAGTAGACAAATGGATAGTTAAGATGGAAGAATACTTCAGACTCAAATCTACTGCGGAGGGAAGGAAAGTTGAAATAGCAGAAGAAGCTATGGAGGAAGAGGCGTTTGACTGGTTTCAATGGTGGCAATTTCAGACGAGGGAAGATAGTTGGAAGGCTTTGAAGGAATCCCTAACTAGGCATTTCCAGCCTAAACGCAGTCTGAACACAGGGAATCAGTATACGCGATCGTCAAGGAATTCTCCCAGTTCACAATCGCGAACTTCTTCAAAATTGCAGCCAGCATCGTTTATCATTTCTCCTTCTTCACAGATGCGAACCACTCCTCTCAGTTTGTATACTGCGTTGCAGAAGGAAGTCTCCAATTCACAGGTGCGAAACAGTTTTCTGAGTCCACCGGCAACAGCTTTCAGTTTGCAAGTGTCATCTCCAGGTTCGCAGGCTTCATCATATACCAGTAGCTCACTTCAAGGTACAACGCAATCAGGAGGAGTTTCCAGTTCGTCCTTGCTGTCTGAGTTGCAGGAGTCTGGAAGGCTATTGCAACCTCTCTCTGAGGATACGCTCATGGATGAGGATGAGGGACGAGAGGACAAATCTGAGGTCGTGACTCAATCCTCAATTATCAAGGAATATGAATCTGCTGACGAGGAAATTGTTGTTTCAAATATTTCTGAATTGGAGAACCAAGTGGTTCCTGAAATTTATATAGGTGCTGAGCTGATAAATGCAGTCCCTGTAGGAATTGCTATACCTCAGTCCAACCTAATATCTACTGCAACATCTAAGAAGGCCAGGAAAGATGAGATGAGTGTGAACAAGGAGGGATTTCCTGCTTCTTTTGATTATGGAATGATGATAGAAGGTAACAAGGTCCATCACTGTGAAGAGATTATGGCTGCAGCTGATAAGGTCTCGGAAAGAGTGGATAGGGAAGAGCCAACTAAATTCATATCAGTCAAAATCAATGCTAAAGCTGACTTTGTAATATTAGTTGGAGAGGTTTTGTGGTGGCCAGCTCCTGTGCAGAGTATGATTAGCTTTCAGAATTTATATTTGCTAAAAGTGGGGAAAAAGGATATATGGCTGGAAAGGGGTGTCAGTTCTCTCAAATTGGCTAATAGCAAATGGAGAGAGAAAAGTGGCCATGCTGTTGAAGGTCAGAGCAAAAATTTTGTGAATACAGGTGTTGTTTTAGTCTGGAGTGCCTTGGAAAGGAATTTGTTGGATGATGATCCACAGAATATTGCATTTTATGAATTAGTTTACATTGATGCTATTGAAGGACTAATGACACAGGAATGGATGAAGAGTGAAAAGCAGGGTTGCCTTGTTCGGGTCTATAATGAAATGCAAGGCTTGGTTACACCGTCTGAATTTGGGATAGATCCTAGCTCTAAAATAAACTCAGGGTATCATGTTGAGCAAGTTATTAAGGTAAGAGAGGTCAGGCCTAACCCAACAGCAAGACAAATCAACCACAGTCTTACAACAAGACCAATGAGGTTGTCTGAGATATTGGTTACATTGGGAAATGTCAATTCTGGAACCGTTAATCTAGTTACTCCTGATGCTCCAAATGGTTTTAGAGGAATGATTATTCCAGAACATTTATATGGTCATAGTAATCTTGCGGTGTTAAGAAAATCTATCTTGAAACCTAGCTTTGAAATTTACCAGTTTTTAGCGTTTGAAGTTGAAGGTTGCTATTTGGTACTTTCTGCCAAGCATTCGGTTAATAATGAACTTGGTCAAGTAAGAGTGTCATTGCAGCAGTCACTATGCTCTTCATCTGAGGTTGCATTTATTCAAGAAAACAAGATTGTCAGGCTTCTAGTCGGGAATTCTTCATATTCAGGAGTGAGCTGGCCTGAAGTTGCTCAAAGTATTCAACAAATTGAGGTCAATTATCTTGAAAAGTGGTGGGAACAAAAGCAGAGGATACAACAGAAGATGCTTGCACAGGGAGATTCAAATTTTTACAGCACCAGGGAGCATTCTGCCACCAAAATATTGTGTCTGCTCCAAGCAGTGAGGAACTGGAAAATGCCGTTTCAAGTACGTGAGTTAAATGTTCAGAAATCTGTGAGGTATTGGGAAGGAAGAGGTGCAAGAATGAAGTGCAAGTGGAAGATCATGGCTGATTCCTATCACCCACCTTGAGGACAAGGTGGTCGTTTAGGGGGGGAGTAATGATAGGAATCTGGGTTTAGTAGGCTATTAATAAGAAAATAATATGAATAAGAGTAAAGGTACTTGTAGTAGTATTAATAGAAGGGAAGGGGTTATTAGTAATATCTAGCATATCCATATGTGGGTATTGGCTATAAATAGAAGGGATAACAACGGGTGAGGCAGACTGTTATTTGGATGTATAGTTGCCTTGAGAGTCCCGGTTGCCTGAGTTGCCTTGTTACCTACGTTGAGACATTTCCTATCAATAATATCATCTTCCCTAATTTCTTATCAGATCTATCAGATCTGTAGTGCTAGTTTACTGTTTTCTATTGGAATATGGCCAGGTCTCTATCAAACACACGCTCTATTAAAAAAAAGGGTTTTGTTTCAAAACAATTTTGTCCCAAGAAGATTTATGTAGAGAGAATTAAACTAAAGTACTAGTGTAGTCCCCGAAAAGAGTGCCAAGTGCCAAACATGCCAAATATGAAAATTTGGGCTATAACCCCATAAATACAAAATTACAAGTATTATTAATGACTATAAAAAATAAAATTGCAAATTTTGAAGTTGTAACTTTTGAAACATGGCTTTTTTTTAGACAAAGATCGTATTGTATTTTTATTGTTTATTGGCCGTTTATTTCTAATGCCTAGTGAAGGTTTACTGTGCATTTTAAGGAAGAATTGAGACTATAAGTCACATAATATTTTAGGCATGTAATGTTACAGGGAGTATAGTTTACACAGAGTAAGTTGTTCAAGTATGTGGCCTATGCCCTCGTAGTTACTTGATCTAGGCAGAATACCCTTTCCTGAGAAAATAGATAACTTAACTGGAGCAAGTTTACAAATGGTACTTAGATCTAGCTATTCATCAACGTCCTCAATAGTTCAAAACCTCTACTGCATCTTAGCAATTCACACACAGCATATGGTGTGCACAACATGAGGTTGATTATGTTTTTTCATCAACACTTGTGCACAAAAACAATTGTTACAAGGTAATACTAGTATAAAACAAAAGGATTCTCAGCATTGATCCAATAAAGTGCTGAAGGCAAAGAAATAAAGAGCCACCAAGAACTAAGGAATTGCAAAAAAGGACGGTCACAAGGAACCTCCTTAAACAACTCAATATGAAATTTAGTCATCCTATATAATAAGCAGAAGAAAAATAAATGATAATTGAGAAATGGCTTACCAGGAACAACTTTGGGGGGGTCCTTAGGGTCAGCTGTGCACATGTATCTCTGTCCCTTGTACCACACAAGCCTGGGAGGATTAGGCGTATACTGGCGCCCATCAGGCAAACTAATATAAAAACCGAGGACATCACCTTCTCCATATCCTTCATCCGCATACTTCTCTCTAAGTGCCTTGTGAACTTTACTGCCATCAATATCTCTATAGCCAAAGCTATTCCCATCGTATCCAACAGGAGCCTGAATGTCCCCCTTTTCAGTTGACCAACCAAGCCGTGTATGCCCAGTTTCCCCCAAGTTCATCACCCTAATCTCAAAGTACCAAGCCCCTTCCTCCACCCCCCTCGTGGCCCTTACCATTCTATACCCCTTTGTACTCCCGGCACTCAATCTATCCTCACTTAGATCAACTTTCTCTGCCTTGAAAGCTTTAGAGAGGCAGATTTTCATCTCCTGTCCATCATCATTCTTATCGGGGAACCTAGGTACAGGTGTGATCAACACCTTGTCCTCAGATTCCTGTGCATCAACATTCTTCTTGTTTCCATTATTGTTACCGTTACTTTTGTTCTTCTTCTTTCCCTTTCTAGATGCAGGCTTCGTCCACACGTTGTTACCCTTCTTCTTAGATTTTGACTTCTTGCTACTCTTCGAAACTGGTTCTTTAACCTCAGTAGTAGGTTTAGTTTTGACAGATGGAGTTTCCAAGGGAATTCCGGTACATTCCTCCTCAGCCAGCTCTACAACGGCTGACTGAGTCCGTGAGGACGAGATGGTGGACGGGAATAGTTTATGCTTCTTCGGAGGAGGCTCTTCGTCTTCATCATCATAACTTTCTTCACCATCTTCTTCATCCGTTTCATATGATTTGACGAGTTGCGAAGAAGATTTGCGATCTGTTTCCGAATTATAGTAATCCGATGCGCGTGGCGCCGGAATGTCAGAAGCGGTTGCTTCTACGTCGAAGGTAGATGCAGATGGTGGTTCCGTAGTGGGAGAATCGCCGGTGACCGTTGCCGTGGCTGTGGTGTTGAGGGAGGATTCATTGCTCTCATCCTCCGTGTCTCTGTAAGTTGCCCTCAGGTCTTCCATCGGACTAGTAGAGATTGATTTTACGTCAGTTGCAATCGTTTTATTATAGCACGACTGGGCCTGGGTCCGATCGTGGGCCGATATCTTTTCCCCACACAATCCAAAAAGTACTCAATCAGCTAATAGCCATACCGCCTAGGTGACAAGGCGCCGCCTAAACGACTAGTCGCCTTTATGTGTATATTATATTTATATTATATATATAATTATATATTTTATATATATAATTATATATACTACAGTAGTTTGTATTATTAGTTTATTAGTTTATATAAGTTATAACATATAACAACAGAATAAATTAATACATTAATAAACAGAATACATTACTACACTAAACTAATGAATCCTTTCTAGAAAAAGATGACTCAGCAATTCAGGTAGGACACATGGATAATGGATATGCGCATAAATCATAGACTACGTATATAACCATACAATTAATAATATATAACTATGCAATTAATTAAAAATCTTAAAAACCATAAGCCACTAGTCCGCTACACACTTAGGATGAGAAGACACTTAGGCGACGAGAAGAGAGCAGAACCCTGGGAAGTCGTCTTCTTCCTGGAGGCTGGAATTGTTTAGTTACTGCGGTTCATCTCATCGCCTGCTTCTGGAGCAGACTTGCGTCTCTATGGCGATTGGTGACTTAATTCGTAAGTTTATTAGATTTATAGATTATTTTGGGGCTTTGGGCTTTATTGTTAATTAAAATCCTAAATATTAATTAAGAAATTAAAGCCTAAATCTTTCTGGGCCTCGGGACTTCGGGTTCGACATGTAAAACGGCACAGGCTTGTCGCCAACATCGCGCCTAGACGACGCCTGGGCGACGCCAAGTGCGACTTCTTTTCTTCTGGCGAGGCGAGGTACTGCGGCGAGCACTCTCCAGCGCGTGGACGCCTAGTCAGCGACGCCACGACAACCCTGGTGTAAACATCTGTGCATGTTCGGATAGCGCGTCAATTTGTTATGTGTTAAAATGAAAAGAGAAAAGTACATACTTGTGATGTGAACCGTTTTCAGATAGGGGCACGTGTTTCATTTTCTAAAACAAAGTGCGACATGTGCTTCAATTCCGTTATCACAGCAGGGGTTTCATGACGTCTAGCGTCGTTCAGAAAATTTAACCCCGATTTTTAAAAGTCTCCGAAACATTAAAAGAAAAATACTGGGAGGTGCGCCTTGTTAAGGAGACCAACAAACTATCGTTCCCTTTGAATTTTTCGGCTCTATTTGGATTATTCTTTAAAAAGGCTTACTCGTGCGTGTCCATTTTCATTTCCCGTGCTACAAAATCATATGCCAATGACCCTTATTTTTAAAATCTAGAACATTGTGGGTGGCAATTAGGAAGCTTATATATCTCACTCTCACTCAACCAGACATTAGTTACTTCATACATATTCTTTGCCAATCAATGCAACAACCTAGGGTGTCTCATTGGGAGATCGTATTACGGTTCCTCTGCCATTTGAAGGGTAATCAAGGCTGCATATTCTATTTCACAGTGATTTTTATTTATTCCTAATCCATTATTGTGAATCAGATTGGGCATGTTATATGTGGACTCAACCTTCGACATTCACATGTTTCTTGGCGTACAAAAACAGATAACTGCGGCGCAATCTTCTACTCAGGAAGAATATCATCGCATGATTTCTCTTGTGAACTCATTTGATTAAAAGGTTTTTTTTTATTATCAATCAGTGTAGATCACTCTAGTCCTGTTGTTTTTTCTGTGATAATACCGCCATTCACATCGCTTCCAATCTTGCTCATATAGGTGGGTACTTTCGTAATTTTAAAAATTCGGATTCCTTCATCTGGTATGTCCCTGATAACCGATTGAGCCTTAAAAAAATACTACGCCAGACGAATGAAGGATTATTTCCTAGCCTTGCTGAAATAAACGATCCATTTGGAAAGTAACGAGCTTTAAAGACACGACCAACCAGAGAGTCAGGCTCAGTAAATAATTTCCAGCTTGCTTAGCTAACATAGCAACATTAAATTGCCTAATTCAAAAGTTCTTGTCAAATTCTTCATCCCCCGATTTTCTTCTATTGCAGGAGTTTTTTGCCGAAACAGTTGAGGAATGAACAGTTAAAAGGGCGATTTCAAAAGTTGGGGAGGATACTTTAGAGGAATTTTTACACGCTCTTGATAATGGTGGGGTAGGTCTATACTTTCTCTTTGATGCTGCAGCAGAATACCTAGAAGAAAAATACCGAGACCGCTCCACAACGGACAAATACCTCTACTCAATTTTAGAGAAAGTGGCTCTAGGTACAACAGGTCTCACACGAAAGAACTTTAAGGACCTTCTGCGAGACTCAGGACCGCATCAAATTCCAATGCACAAACCACTAAGCGATCACACCACCTACAAAGAATCTCCTATTTACAAGGATGCACTTCTTGAACCCCAACAAGTGGAACATGATGGTTTCACATCGGTAGTCTCCAGAAGGGACAAAAAGCGTAATGCCAATTCAGTTAGAATTGTCCAATCTCGGCAGCAATCCTATCGAGCTTAGGATTTCTCTTGGACTTTTAGGGAGTGCTCAGGGATTTTTAGGGAGAACAGAGGGTTAAGGTTTGGAGTTTCTTTAACTTGAGGGTTTGCATTATTGTCTTGTTTTTCTATAGGTTTTTAATATTTTGCTCTCTCTTTAGTTCTTTTAGGACCTTGCTTTCTCACTTTTGTCTGTTTTCGGTGGATGTACTCTCATTAGCGATTGTACTTTGATCTCATTTCAATAAATAAAATCATTGCTTTAAAAAAAAAAGCAACATTAAATTCCCTAATAAGTAATAACCCTTCGAAAACCCAGCCCCCAAACTTTTTGGGTTTACAAAGTGAATCACAATCCCTTCATTGGATGCCCTTTCCAGTGTTTCCGGTCCACCAGTAACCATTCATAAGTATTTCCAAATCCCTATAAAGCTCATTAGGAAGGAGAAAAACATTCATCGGATATAAAGGCATGGCTTGAATAACCGTCTTTAGAAGAACCTCCCTTCCTGCCCAAGAAAGGAACCTATTATTCCAGATTTGAATCCTCTCGATTACCCTCTTGTCTCAAATAATTCAAAATCTCCCGTTTATTCAGCCCAAAGAGAGCCGGCAGCCCCAAATACTTTTCCTCTGCGGTCGCGGGCCCCAACCAAGAAGCTCCACTAACCCCTCCTGTAACACTTGAGATTTAATATAAACGGATTAATAGTACTACTCATACCAATAAGATGCATCTCCTTTTAAGGGAGCTCATCACCTAAGAACTCCAAAGTTAAACGTGCTTGCACGGGAGTAGTCTTGGGATGGGTGACCCCCTGGGAAGTTTCTCAGGGCGCGCACGAGTGAGGACAAAGTACGCGGAAAAGGCTAGTGGCGGTTTGTGGGGACAGTACTAGAGGTCTGGAGTAACTACCTCGGGTCCTGCGGGGCCGGGGTGTTACACCTCCCTAGTGCTGGCCGAAACATTAGAGCTGAAAAAACCTTAGACTTATTAAAATTAACCACCTGTCTCGAGGCAGATTCATAGTCAAGAAGGGTCTCCTTAATAACTGTAGCCACTCCATGGTTAGCTTGAAAGAAAAGCAGACAATCATCAGGAAAAAGTAAGTGAGATATCTGTGGTGCTCCCCTAGCTAGCCACCACTACTCCATGAATGCACCCCATACCATCGTGCCTCCTGAGTAGAGCACTTAGCCCCTCTGCAATCAAAATAAACAGGTAAGAAGATAAAGGATCCCCTTGACCTAACCCTCTAGAGGGAATAATTGGCCTTATTTCAGTGTCCTCAAAAGGGATAGAGTAAGTACCTGTCGTCACACACAACATTAACGATTTTAATCCACCTATCAGAAAAACCCATTTGCTTCATCGTGCCCTCCAATAACGACCACTTAACTCGATTATAAACTTTGCTCATATCCAATTTTAAAGTCGCATAACAAGTCTTCCCCTCAGCCTTACGTTTCAGATAATGTTTGGATTCAAAGACAGTCATGACATTGTCAATAATAGATTTACTAGGAATAAACGCACTCTGTTGCTCAGAGGTACACGTGTAAAGAAGGCCCTTTAATATATTAGCTAAGATTTTAGAAAAAATCTTGAACACAACATTACAAAGTGCAATCAGTCACCAATCAGTTAACAATTCAGGATACTCCTTTTTCAGAATCAAGACTATGTGAGTATGATTAATTCCATCTGGAGTAGTACCCAACCCAAAAATAGACTGACAAAAGGACATTACATATGGCCCAATAATATCCCAAAAATGTTGAAAAAAGCCAGGGATCATACCGTCAGGACCAGGAGATTTATCAGGATACATTAAGAAAAGAGCCTTCTTGACCTCAACATTAGATACGGGTGAATAAGGAGAGCATTCTGGTGCTCCTCAATCCCGTGGTTGACACAGTGAAAAATATGGTCTCCATAAGAAGAGGGAAAAATAGGGAAAATCGCATATATGGTCCCTCAGTTATCCACGAAATTAAAATCTCATCAGACTTGTATTTTTGAGATTGTAAATGTCACCTCTCAATTGTCCAAAATGTTGTAAATGTGGTCCTTTAAGTAGTGAAATGTACTCTGGCACACATTGTATATTTCACCCCTCAAAAGGACCACATTTACAACATTTTGGACAATTGAGGGGTGACATTTACAATCTCAGAAATACAGGTCTGAGATTTTAATTTCGTGAATAACTGAGGGACCATATATGTGATTTTCCTGGAAAAATATCATTATAATAATCCCCGATCAAGCTTGCCAAGTCCCCTCTATCACGGACCCAGCTCCCATCCGCCGCCTTTAGTCCCTCCATTTTATTTTTCCTCCTCATCATCACCGCATTATGAAAAAATCTAGTATTAATATCACCTCCACGGTACCAAAACTCTTTAGCCCGTTGCTTCCAATAAAGATTTTCCTTCTCTAACAGTGACAAGTATTCGCATTTGACCCTGTCAAATTCGGCCAGT